TATATATATGAAAAAGAGTATTAAATAACTATTATTCATTAACAAATTAATGTGACATTTGACAGACCCGAGAGAAATAGGATCCATGCACAAACAAAACTTTGACCCACATTATATATTATCCGCATATAAACCCCACTAATGTATTATATTAAATATTGAATAGGCTCCCTTCACGGGAAGGGACATTATAACAGTGACCATTTATTTATTAAAAAAAAAGTTGGCAATGGCAACCGACAATGGCCAAAGTGACATCAAATTAGAGTACAAATTAATTAATTAATTAAACTAATAAAATATAATTAAAGAAAGGGTGTAAGCTGATTGGATTTTATAGAATTAAAAAACAAATAAACAAATGAAACAAGAAGCACAAAATCATCCTAACAACCCCACAACCCCACAACAACGACGAGGAAGGAACGCGTCTAGAAGCAAAAAATATGCTACCATAATCGATTATGTGTCATGCATAATCGATTATGCTGGCTGGGAGTTCAGTTTTTCACCGCGATTTACCCTCTATTCTTCATTCTCATACCTCGGCTACCCTCCCTCATGCATAAATAAATGAAGCTTACCTACAATGATTGCCCCGTTGAGAATCATTGCAGCAACAACCACCCTCGCACGAGCACACAACACACACAGAGCTTCCAAGTCTCTTATAAACGCGTGACTAGTGAGACCCATTCAGTCTCATTTCAAACGCGTCACTGTGCCATTCAAACGAAGGACAAAGGCCCGTGAACCATGGCAACAATTCCTCTGTTGCATGGCACAGTCTCTGCATGCATGAGCATGGCAGAACTTCATCTCTTTTCAACTTTTGGGCAGAGGCCACGCAGGTTCTCTCGCTTTTCTTTGCTTTTCTTTCAGTGCAAATCAGCGAAAACAAACATCAAGTTTCTTCACCTTTCGTTCACCTTTCGTTCATCGTGCACAATAAATCCCCTGACAAAGTGAGTCCACATATCTATAATATGCTTCTAACACATTAAACACATCTTATTAAATAAGTTCAATAAATCAACACAGCAATTTAAAAATAAAATTTTGAGGAAAAATAAAACCAAACATTCATGCTATTCATAAGATGTTTTGTACACATGATTGACTTACTATACATTATTTTTATTTTTAAAAATTAAGAAAATATTATTTTATTTTATCTTCATCTAATAAACAAAACAAAAAAAAATAGTTACAGAATAATATAATTAACTGTTAACTAATGAACTTATATTTTTAAAATTAAAAATTAATAATTAAAAATTTTCATTCGCAACTTTAAACAATTATTTCAAAATTATAGGAAATTTTCCTCTATCTACGAATCAATATTTATACCGACGGGTGTCGTGATGCTGCTTCTAGAATTGCAAAACTTGGCTACGACAAAACCTTCCATGACAAACCAATCAATCAGTGAGGACTTAGGAGTATTTTGTCAGAAACCAGACTAGGCCATTTTCTGTTGTAGATAGGTACGAGCCTAGGATAAGGATACCTTAAATCAAATGACATGTGGCAGAAAATCTATAGCAAAAGAAGAGAGAACAAAGCAATCTACAAGCCAAACAATATTCTATTGACAAAGAGCAAGTAGTGACAATTTTAGTACCTAGAGGAACAAAAGCTACAATAATAAATTAAAACCCATTAAGGAGGCTCATGCCATGGTGATAACTGCTTTGAGATTTCATCTACCGCGTCGCGGAAGATTCACATTTCTCAAGGCATGTTCAGCAAAAGGAACAATGAGGTTCATTTCGTTCCCTTAAACGCCCAGAGGCATTTTTGATGTATCTCAAACGTACAGGCTGCAACAGGACAGACATGTTAATCCTAAATGATTAGGCCCAACAAACAACCACCTGTTGCCGTTGGAGTCAGAACTCAAAAGTTGTCCACCATACATACTTTTCATTTGTATGGTCTGAAAGGTGTCTACCAGATAGATCCTTTTAATTGCTCTTCACTATCCTCTCGATTCCAACAAAAACTATGTCCCACACATTGGAATCTCAAACCAACTTAAGCTAATTTAGGCCAGAACGAGGTTGAAGGGTATTCTCAAACCCACCACCAGGGACAAACACGGGAAGCTGATTTGAAAGTGAATCCCTTTTATATCTTGGCTCTTGGGGCAAGTTCACTGATATGCTACTATCTTGGGCATCCCCTGATGCCAAATGTCTTTCATTTTTCAAACCATCTCTGACAGGGACACTCAAAAATGGACCTCCATAAAAGATAGAATCTCCTGTATACATCAGATTTTGTATGTGCTGCTGCCCAGGAGACTTGGGTGCAGATGATGGCAACTCCTGAGGAGGAATCGCTGGTTTTCTACCAATACCGCTTGTTTCAGCATTTAAATTTGGCAACTCTATTCGCATGGATGGCCTATTTCGAGCTTCTGAGGGCAATAATGGAACTGACACATATCTGCCAGCTTCTTGATCCCAAACGACTGATGTCCGTTTCACATCTCTTAGAATAGACGTGTTAGAAGTTGAAAGCAACAATGGATCATTGCCAATTCCTTTTGGCACTGTTGGCATTGTTGTTCTCCCATCAAATCCAAGAGAAGGATTAGATGTTGGGTTCCTGAAGTTTGACAAAGTTGCTATAGAAGTTAAAGGACGCTCAGGCACCAAACTAGGAATTGAGGTACCTGCCCTGAAGCCACCCAAACTGCGACCCTGTGGAAGAGGGCTGAGTGTTACTGCCTCTTGAACATGGCTAGGACTACTGAAACTACTCATACTTTGGGTTCCAGTCTCGTATTCATCACGACTTCCTTGACTAGGAGCAATAGAATTTCTCACCGGAGACAATCTCAACTCATGTTTTATTTCCTTGTTAGTTCCAGTCTCTGTGCTCAAACTACTTCTGATGCTCATGTTGCCACTAGAGCTCAATTCTGCTTCCGGTAAACGGTGGTTATCTACAGGTCGCAAAACTGAAGAAGATGCCCTGGCTTTTGCAGCTGCTCTCACTGCCTCTTGTGAATCCAACTTAGCAAGCTTCCAAGCACTGATACGAACAGGTCTTTTTGGCAACTTTTGCCCTCTTTCTGCAATCCCAGCTGCATCTGGATCAACAGTTGACGGTAGCATTCCAGGCTCTAAGTGAGGCACAACTTCATCCTAAAACACATGTAAGGCAGGCCACATGAATCATTTTTATTTTGTCAAGAAAAACAATGAGGAAAGTGTTAATAGCATGTAATTTGAATAAAAAACATATGAAAGGGTTATCAAGTAAAAAAAAAGGTATAAATTAAATAAAGGCATGAAAATTCACTAATTAGGCAAACCAATGGGAATATAATTTGTAAATTCTACAATATTACTTGCCATGTCATAATTTGGTTTTCTACAAGGACTGGACATAACAGTGCTATATAAATTCAGTCAAGGTTGCACAAGTGGTTATTACATAATACATATATAGTTCATCCCCCATCCCTGCCCCTCCAATTTTTTGTTCACTATAGTTTCCTAAAAACAAATCTATCATATCAAATGACAAGTCAACAAGCATCTTTGGGTATTTAATATAGTAGCATAACTTACTTATAACTTAATGAATAACTATTCAAAGGGAAACAAATGTCGACCCAAGTACCTGATAATCCACAAATACCCTGGGAGGGGTACACCAAGCCCCTTTATACTGCAAACCAAGAGAACTTCCTCCGCTCAATCCAGTTGTGGCTGAGCCTGTCGGAGAGTAAAGTACATTTGGCAAATCCTCATCCACAGATGCCCCTGCAGGTGCTTCACTCATGGCTCTCATTGCTACAACATATTCATAGGTTGTGATGCCCTGATCCAACAACAAGAAAGGAGGGAAGATGAGGATATTACTCTTATGTGTGAAACGACTAAAATAATGGTCAACTAAAATGTGATTTTATAGTGCTATGTAAATCTCAGGGTGGAAGCAAAACATCCCAGACATAATCCACAAAAATGCTTTCAAGTAACTAACCATAATGGTTTTTTTCTTTTCTAGTTCAGATATTCCAGTTTCTTTTTATTTAGTTTTGCACCATGTATAATGCCATTTTGTTTAGGAGGTCGATTTACATTCCTCTGTCTTAGTATCCCTATATCATAATTTTTCTTAAATCAAATATAATATTTCTTCTGTTATCCCATAAAAACAATCAAATGAGTTTTCTGTTACTAATAAGCTGACAATTAAGGGCATTTTATTTGTGTTTTTTAAAAAAGAAAAAGCGAATTTCTAATTAAAAGATGTGTTTTTAAAAAATATAATGATGAAGTTTAAAAGAAAGAAAAAAGAAAAAAACCTTTTAAAAAAATTGATTGTGTTTTCCTCAAAAGCTAAAATAGTAGCTTCAGAAATTAAATTAAAAAAAGCCTTTTCATAGAATCACTTTTTCTGTGCTGAGACCAAACTGTTATGTTCTTTTTCAAGTAATTGGAAGGGGGAAAATTATGAATACAAACTCATTTGAAAAATGCTCTTCTAGTTCTAGATGAGTTTTCTGAAACTCCACCATATGTATCTTAAGATTCATTGTACAGAGTTCCCTCAATCAAATTAGATTAGCCAAGCAGCACAAACTGTGTACAAAAGAATGGGGGTGGGGAAGAAAAAAGAACAGAAAAACAACCTCAGATTCTCAGCTACTGAATCACTGACCTTCCTGATTAGTATCATGTGGAAAAAGAAAAGCTCACCCAAAGGCACACAAGCCAAGATAGAAACTGCAGTACATACAGCCTACACATTGAAACAAGAAATATAACAATAAATTTCTAAATATACTTAATAATAACCATTTGTTATATAACAGATATAATATAAAACAAATAAAAGAGATACCACAACAGTTGCAAATGGGGGACGAGAGAATCCATTTCCAAGTCTATCAATGATTTCAGATTCCATTCCTCTCTTGTTTACAAAGAAACGCACGAAAACAGCAACACCCACTCCAGCTTCAATAACTAGCTGAAATGTAAAAGAATAATGTACAAGAGGCATTATTAGCAAGCAAAACAAATTATTGCTTTTAAATAATAAATAATTTGTGAGAACCAATATACATACCCATGCAAGACTAAAAGCCATGAGAGCAATAAAAGAGCTGTAATTTTTGTGACCCACACAATTGTTAAGCCACTGCAGCAATGTGATGCATCAGGCGAAACTCAAAGTTGAAAAAAAAATGATAAAAATACTATACCAAAATTGGATAATACTCCAAGATGTATGCTTCACTCAGCACACCAAATCATACCCGACAATGGTGATCAAAGCCATCAACACATTTATCACAACTTCTACAATGTTTGCTGAACTTGCGCACCTGCAAAACACAAAACACAAGGCATGAAATATACATACTGAGCGAGAAGCGGAGATCCATTGTTTAAAAGCTACATCTCTCTAAAATGCCTCTACTGACAGCTGCATGAAACTACAGATGTTGATAACATTAGAGTAATCAACTGTGTCCCAAAATTCTATAGGCAGAAATTTCCAAATATAGAGAATGAAAGCAAAAGGGCCCATAATTCTCCGGTATATCTACCACTTAGTGTGTGTTTGGAAACCAGTTCAGTTGAACTTAATGCCAAGCCATCCTTCCCTTTCCATCAATGTTTATGCATAGGAAAGTGGGAAACCTCAGTTTAAAAGGGAGCAAATGGATTCCCAAATCCTGAGTTAAATTAGGATCACAAATAGATAGAAAAGTTTTAGCCAAAACCCAAAATATTTAATAGACAGAGAGAGCGAGAGAGAGAGAGAGAGATTATTGAAGAGAAGAAGAAAATAAAAACATAAGAATTCAATGTCCTTAAATGGGAAAAAATGAAGAATAAACGAAATAAATAAATTCATCAGATTCAAAACCATAACACTGCAAAAACAAGAGAGAAAAAAAACCAAGCTTACTAGTTCATTCTGAATAATATGAACATAAATACATTTTTCCAGAAAAATGATAATTGACTCAATTTATATCAACAAAACATGGCATTTCTCAAAGAAATAAATCTAATTTTGAAAAATATTCTCAACGTACCCATGATTTATTATTTTACTGGTGAGGGATGATGAAAGTATATTCAATTAATGTCAATTCATGAATAAAATAAAATATAATAAATATCACTTTCAGCCAAACTGACAAGGAAGAACTAAAATTGAAATATATAATGCAATGCACCAAAGAATCATATATCGCAATGCAATACCTCAGCATTGCACAAAGTGCAGAACAGAGCATCTTCACCACCAGCCTGCTCATCAGCTGTAACTTCCTGTTTCTGGCAATCTTCATGTGAAAATAATATGCAGCAAATTCCTCCAATTGCATTACATGAGTTTCGGTTATTTTGTTCCCTTGAATTATCTACCCTTTCAAGATCTTCCACAGAACTTTTCTTGCTCATATTTGTCATAGACCTTTTGGAGGCCGCAGATGACGGAGAATATTGCTCTCTGGCAGCAATGTGATCATGTTCGGAAACATGATGCTTCCCTGATAAATCATGAGCCGAATTGAACCTATTTCCCCCTCTAGGATCAAACTTAGACATAATGCCTGGATCTGCAGGGTTAATTGCAGTGCATCTGACATAAAGAATGAACACAGTGAGTGCCTGCAATGCCACAAGTATGACACAACAACATCAGCCCTGCTTATTGTAGGTAAGCAAGTAATATATAATAAACGAGGTGGAGTGATATAAAGGCAATTTACATACCACAGGAGAGTAAACACCAATGAAGATGTATTCCCATAAATGACCTCCGATGAAGGGAGCAAGAAAAGCATAGAAAGCAATCACCAACAAGCAGAATACAGTAATTGCAATAACCTATTCATGAAAGAACCAATAATTAGACAAATAACTCGACATGCCTGCAACTGTTGAAATACAAGTCAGTGAAACCAAAATGACAAACATTAAATCAACAAAAATATGGAAAAATAGCATTAGGATATATTTTACTGATGTAAGGATCAAATATAGGGACCCGGGGTTCAAGACCCAGAATCTACAATGCTCGATGGAATAAGGCTTTTGTTGTTGCCATCGACAAAAGGATCAAAATTAATTTTGTAATTCAAACAGTACACGGGCAATGTAGCCTTATAAACATTAAACCAGTTATTTTATGTATTGGGATAAATTATAGTCCCCTCTCTTACCCTCCCAAGCATACACAGCATACCTCATATTCGCTCCAGAAAAACAAAGTCTGGATTGTTATTATTACAAATAAGCTTTCTCCTCTTCAGTTACCAAAACAGTTGGAAATAAATTCATCCAAATTTCACCAGCTCCATTCTTGTTTTCATAAACAGTTTTTCAACCCTTAGTAGTACCAAAGTGGGGCATCCAAAACAGAATCAAATAGCCCTAAGTCATGGGATATTAAAAACTTGAGACATTACTCAACAACCAGAGTGGACTTTTCCGAGGCAGTGGCTAAGTCAAGCGTTAACCAAAGGAAGTATACATAATTAAAAAAGAAGTGTATAAAACACGCAATTACAAGAATTAGGCAATAAAGACACGTGATGTAAGAATCCACATGGAGATAAGCATGAATTGGTGGTTCCAGCAAACCCTAACAAAAAAAGAAGTGAGAATTTGAAGAAGAAGAAGAAGAAAAAGGGAGAAAAGTATACCTGAAAAGTGTGAGCAGGTAATTGCCAGCCATGTTTTCTAACCATGTCTGCTCAGCTCAATTCAGAATTGAGATTGCCAATACCCTAAACCTTTAACTGGCAAGCGCGCGCACTAACTTGCTACTTCAGCTGCAGACTTGGAATAGGAGCGGAAAAAAATGAATGAAATAAATTGCGACTAGCGAGTATACCTAATCCCAATATAGAAACGCCTCTTACATACCCTTTAAAGATTTTTTTTATTCTTTTCTTTTTCCCTCCATTCTTCTTTTTACATACACTTCTTATATCATTTCCTATTAATATTAGTTTCGTCTTAATTATAAATAATATAAAATAAAATATTAATAAAAATAATAATTAAACGAGTTGTTTTTAATTATTTTTGTTATAAATTTTTATTTTATTTATAAATATATTTTATTTTAATTAATTATTATATTTAATATTAATTATAAGTGAATATATAAAAATAAAGTTAATTGAAAATACAAAAAAAATTATTATTAAATAACTTTAAAAATTAATGAATTTTATTTATAATTATAACGAAAGAAAAATCTAATTTATTGTTATAATTAAGATTATTTACATATTTTAAATGCATGTCTTCATTATATATTACTTATTTTTATTTATTATACATCATTGAAAGGAGTCACACTATTACATAATATTTATTTTTATCTCATAAATGTAATTTAATTTTTTATCATATAAATATCATTTATTATTAAAAAAAAAATTTGTAGACCTACTAAAACTATTAAGCGTCAAGCTACACACTTCAATGTGATCTTATTTGGATAAGAATCGCTCAAGAAATCCGGTAGACATACTCTTAGTTTGCTTCTTTATATTAATTAGTATTTTAATATGTATAATATAAAATAAAAATGTTTATTTTATATGGTTAAAATTATAATAAATAAATATTTAAAAATTTATATTACAATCAAATTTATAATATTTTTAAATTTATGATAAATAACTTATGTTGTGAAGTAATATTATTTTAATTATTGACAATTTTAAAATATATTAAATTTTAATTTAGAAGTTAAAATTAACTGTGAGACCTCACTTCCATTTTCTTTTCCCCCAACCTTCTTCACTTTCATTCTTACTCTCATACACTATTTTTCCCCAAAATTCTCTACTCACCTTGTTGTTCACTCTCAATCCTTGTTGCTGATTTCTTCTCTTTGGGTTGAAGGTGCTGATCAAGAGTAGGCGGAGCTAGCTGAGAAAATCGGAGCCATTTCATTTCCTTCTTCTCCTTCTTCCTTTCTCTTCCCGGAGCTTGGAATCTCTTCACTGAGGTAAGGGAAGCTAGATTCTTGCTGGTTGTGTGGACATGAGCTTAGAAACTCATGAATTGTTGGATGATTGGCTGATTTAGGAGCTGTTTTGAAGAAAATGGGTTTTCGGGGTTTGATGAAAAAATTGGGGTTTTTCTTGTTTGATGATTGCATGCTGAAAATGAGCTGGTTTTTGTGTTGTTTGATGAAAATGTGGAGTTTTGGGCGGATTGCATGTGTTTGGACTGTTGATCTTTGCAGGTTTTGAAGGAAATTTGCGAACTTGGTGAGTTGCTGCTTTGTATCACGCCGGACGCAGTTCTTGGCGCAGGATGCGTGACCATTAGAGGGCTTCATTGGGCAAGTCCGTTGGGCGCAAGGTTGTGTGCGTCGGGCGAGCTTGAGAATGTGAGCCTCTGGATGGCCCACGCCGGGCGTGATTGGACTGTGCTGGGCGCGATATCAGTAAGTAACTAGCTTTTTGGGTTTTCTGGTGTTGCGTCGGGCGTGACTTAGTCTTGCCAGGGGTGGCGCCGAGCGCAATTGGTATTGCGTCGGGCGTGAGACCTTGGGGAGGTCTCTGCCTTCCTTGGGTTTGGCACGCCGGGCGTGAGACCTTGGGGAGGTCTCTGCCTTCCTTGGGTTTGGCACGCCGGGCGTGAGACCTTGGGGAGGTCTCTGCCTTCCTTAGGTTTGGCACACCGGGCATGTGAGACTCTTTGGAGTCTCTGGTTAGGCCACGCTGGGCGCGATCATGAGTGCGCCGGGTGCAGATGTAATCTTTCTATATATGTTGTTATATGTTGATTTAAGCTGATTTAAGCTGTTAATGTTGAGTGATGATTTTGCTGTGCTGTGAGATGTTTATGCTGAATTATGATCTTTAAGCTGTGCTGTATAAAGTTGAGTTGTGCTGTATTCTGTATGATGTTATGTTGTGTTGTGTTGCATGCTGATATAAACGGTTATAGGCCGTAAGGCTAAGCTGTTGTAGGCCGTAAGGCTGAGCTGTTGTAGGCCGTAAGGCTGAGCTATTTAGGCCGTAAGGCTGAACTGTTGTAGGAGATCTCCGAGCTGATATGCATGACGACGCATTGTTTGTTTACTGCTGTTTTTGCTGAATGATGTGAGTTGTATATGTGATGAGTTATATGCTGATGATTGTTGAAATAGATGATGTGCTGATAAGCTGTAGTTGTTTATAATTGTTGTACTTATATATCTATATATGCTTATTCTTTTCACTAGCTTATCCTTTGTTGTTTCCATATGGTTTGGACTGCAATGATCATACTGTGTATGGGAGCAGAGCAGAGATAGGTTGATGTGTGGAGGCAGGTCTGCAGCTGGCAGATGGAGTTTGATGTTTATGTTGTTTTGGCCACTAGTTTGGCTATTTGGGCTATATTTTGTACTTTGATTTTAAGCCTCAGGCTATACCTTGTGTATATATTTCAGCTGCTTATATATATGCATGCTCTTTTCGGTGTGGTGCTGTGGTGTTTTGTTGTGTGACGGCCAGACGGGTCGTTACATTAACAAGATATAATAAAATATGTAAATAATTCTTAGAAATAATTTATTAAAAAATAACTCTTAAAAATATTTTTATATAACTATTTTAATTTATATAAATAAAAGCTTAAAAAAATAAGAGATATGATTAATATTTTTAATACACTTTTATATTTATAAAATTTATGAATTATAAATATATAAATCTAACTTAATATTTTAGAATTAATCTCTATATATTAAATATAAATCTTTATATTATATGAAAGTATTTTTAAGAATTTTTCTTCGACGAAAAGTTTTATAGAGATTTCTTTTTAATTATTTAATTTTATTTTATTTATCATAATTATTTATTAATAAAATATTAGTATTTTAAAATAAATTATTAATAATATATATATATAATATAAATTATTTATCATAAATATAAAAGATAATTTATATATTTAAAAATGGTTATTTATACTTATTTTAAATATAATTATATATTCAAATATAGTGTGAGACCCTACTTAGTTGTTATCAGGTGTCTTAGTGGGCTCATGTAAGGTACTAGTGGATATTCTACAATATGCTGATGACACTATATTCATTGCTGAGGATAATCTTGAGAATGTTAAAACTTTGAAAGTCATTCTTTTTGTACAAAAATTTTATGAAAATGCAAAGCTCCCAAAAGGCACAAACTCCTCATTCATATCATTAATTCTGAAAGTTGACAATCCAATGTAGTTGAACGACTATCGACCAATATCTCTGGTGGGGTGCATGTACAAAATATTGGCCAAAACTCTTGCTAGGAGATTGAAGGTCATACTACCTTCGTTGGTGGATGAGAGACAGATAGCATTTGTGGAGGGTAGGGGGTTGCTACAAAGTGCTGTCATTTTAAATGAAACTCTTGACGAGGTGAGACGGATGAGGAAGGCTTGCATTTTTTTCAAAGTTGATTTTGAAAAGGCGTACGATTCAATGTCATGGTCATTCCTATTGTACATGCTTCAAAGACTTGGATTTGACGACCGTTGGATTAGTTGGATCAAGGAATGCTTGCGCTCATCATCCATGTCGGTACTAGTGAACGGAAGCCCAACCAAGGAGTTCAATGTCCAAAAAGGGATTAGATAAGGAGATCCCCTTGCACCGTTATTGTTTGTCCTAATAGCAGAAGGGTTGACAGGGCTAGTTAGAGAGGCAATAAAGAAGTTGTTATCAGGTGTCTTAGTGGGCTCATGTAAGGTACTAGTGGATATTCTACAATATGCTGATGACACTATATTCATTGCTGAGGATAATCTTGAGAATGTTAAAACTTTGAAAGTCATTCTTCGGTGTTTCGAATTAGCTAGTGGATTGAAAGTGAACTTTGCAAAGAGCAGTCTTGGTGGGATTGGTGTTGATAGGGAGACATTGATATCATATGCTGAACAACTACACTGCAAGCTGTCAAATATCCCATTTCAGTATTTGGGTATTCCAATAGGGGCAAATCATAGAAGATGTACTACTTGGCAACCTATTATTAGGAAGTTTTCTAAGAAGCTTTCTGCTTGGAGAGCTAGAACTCTATCCATTGCGGGAAGAGTATGTCTGATTAATGCTGTTCTTACATCTTTATCGTTGTATTTCATGTCATTTTACCGGATGCCGAGACTGGTGGTAAAACAACTCACCAAATTGTAGAGGAATTTCTTGTGGGGGGCCAAGCAAGATGAAGCAAAAATGGTGTGGGTTTCCTGGAACAAAATTAACATGTCTAAGGAGGAGGGAGGGTTGGGCATTAAAATTCAATTTGTTTTAAATTAAATAAAATATATAAATATAATTAAAATAATATTAAAACGAACTATTAGGTGAGATTAATAGGAGAAATTACGAAAGCATACACAATATCTTGTATTCAAATTTTATTGTTACTATTATAATTTTTATAAATAAAAAAATAATAATAATAAAATAAATAAACTTTAGAGAGAGAAAAAAATCTAAGAGCCCTCTACGCTCGCTTAAAAAAATATTTAAAACATTGCATGGATATTAATTCATTTGAAATATTTTTACAATCAATCGAGCATTTTTTAAAAAGTTAAAATGATTGTGTACACGATCTTTCATGAATCAAAATATCAATTTCCTTTTCACACAAACATACAGTCACAACACTACGAAAATGTCAAAACATGAAGTTAGATATTTTTGTGGGATTACCCATTAACAACATTGAAGCAAAACAGTTTGGAAAAAAATATACCTAAATAATTATGATTAAAATTACAAGTATTTTCTATAAAAAAAAATCGAATAATCTTACGCGGATTGATAATTGATGCATGTTCTCATATATAATCATAATTTAAATTTATTTTTTTTTCTTAAAATGTAGT